AATCCCAAGTCTTTCCCAACCCTGGGCGTGTATCCTAGAGCTTAATCTAACAAATAGAGTTTCCCTTTAATTCATTTTCTTCATATATATATGTATATAACAAGTAGGAGCTAACAAGAGAACAAAAGTGAGTGTGAGCTGATAGGTATATATAGTAAGTGTTATGTGTCTGAGACCAGATTTGAACTCAGGTTCTCCTGACTCTAGGGCCAGTGCTCTACCCACTGTGCCAGCCACCTAGGTACCCCCCCTTTGATTCATTTTCAAGATTTCCTGCTTTATACTGTGAGGTCAGAGGGGGTGGCCCTAGGCAAAGTTTGTTGTGATTTGGAAGAACTGGTGACAGGTTTGAGGTCTCCCAGAAGTATGTGTCCCTCACACATTTACCTTCTCCTCAGTTGTCAATTTCCACCGTACTTTTTATATATAAAGAGGAGTATAACGTTCCTTGAAAAAATACTATGATTTGTGGCTTCAAAAGGATCTATTCTTTGTTTTCATATGGTCATTTGATACCTATCAGCTCACACTCACTTTTGTTCTCTTGTTAGCTCCTGCTTGTTATCTTTTTCTTATCTTTCCTCTTCTGTTTTACAGAGAGTGTTTCCTTCCCAGAATTCAGATATCAGTTTCTATATGTCAGTTGCAGGATTATAGAGAAAATTTAAAGAGCCATTCTCTATGCATAAGACTAAGAGTTCCTTTCCTCTGCTGAGTTTCAGCAGAATCAGGAGCTATGCAGTTAACATCGTGACTACAGAATTATGTTAAAAGTTCATCTTTTACTTTATTAATTTTCTTTTTTATTATGACCAGAACCAACATTAATATTTCAGTGTATTAAGAATAGAAAAAGTTATATGACACTGTAATTCTACACATATTTTAAAGTATATATTAAATTTATTATGGTGTTAACAAAATGGCCCTGTTGTTTTTGTCACTTGAACAATGAATCTTTAATGTGTTATTGTAAGACAAACCACTTTTCCACCATTCCAAATTTCTCATAGCAACAAACATACATACTTACATACATACATACATACATACAATAAAGACAATTTACCTAATCTATTTTGTAATGCCATCCCAATTAAATTATTAAAAAAATTATCTTACTGAGTTAGAAAAAATACATACATACATACATATGTAGAGAGAATGTACTTCGTTGCTATATTTTGCCCAAAAGACAGATTGGTAATGTTTATTTTAAGCTAAAGCAGAGGAAGTTACAGTTTACAGAAGTCTGGTCAATTTGTATTAGCTATGAGATTTGTTAAACCATTGCCATGGTAATTATCCTCTGTGAACTTTAATGAAACAAGATTAGTTGCCTAAGTGAAAATTGATAATGAAGACTAATGAAAAGAAAAAGTTGTCTCTGAAGTAACTAACCAAGAAATCTTTTTGTTGTGATCCTTCACATTTTGACAAAATTGTGAAGAGAGTTTTTTGAGATTGACTCCAAATAATCCCTATTGCAATTTAAATTTGTTTCTGAATATATACAATATGTGTTGCATTAAAATGCCTTTATTATATATATAAATAATTTGTCCAAATGTGGAGAATCCATTCAAAATCAATTTGCATTTACAATAATGCAAATGTTAATTTATCTCCACCTTGAGTTAAGCAGAATAAACAAAACTTCTTTGAAAGGTGCTTTTGAGATCTAACATTAGTTAGATTTTGCTAAGGTAGCTGAAGTAGTTCTTACTTAGAGTTGTTTACTTAGCTCTAGGTCAGGTAAGAATCTATGGCTTAGCACGGATCTCTTCATCCCCAGCTGTGTTAAATTTAACATTGTTCATCCTGGAGAAAGCCAAGGGAGTTGAAATAAAGGTGTGACTATTGTTCTTCAGAAGACATTACCCTTGTAAATATACAACTGACTGAAGGGTGTAGAAAGTATTAGACACTACTGTGTCTATTTGCAGTTTTTTAAATTATTTGTAAAGCATTTGACTTATGGTAGTAATAATAATTCCATACAACAATAGAGGGAGTTGAGGGGAGGGAGAAAGGAGAGGGTTAGTGAGAGAGAAATAAGAACTTGTGAAAAGGATTTTGAGAAGATGGCAGAGTAGGTCAGAAAACTTTCGGGTCTCTAGATTTTCGGGGGGGGGATGGGACAGAACATTGCCTCAGAGGGAATGTTGAGCAGCACAAATAAAAGAAGTTAGGGTAAAGCTCTCGTTCTCCTAAGACCACCTAAGAAGACCCCCAGAAAGACCTGAACTCCAGGGGCAGAGGTTTGCCCTGTGTGAACTGCAAATACCTCTAGGCCATCTCTTGTTATCAACAAGCAACCAGCCTTGGGGGGAGCTGGGTTTGGGAGCCTCAGCTTTAGAGTGAGGCCAAGAACAACTGTGCTGATCAGACTCATCCCAGTGACTGCTGGGAAAAGGAGGTAATACACACCTGGTGAGTGCAATAGCAGAGGGGTGGGACCCTGCTGGCTGTGGGCACTTGGAGGAAAGCAGAGTCCCTGGTTTCAGAAAGATGAGGAAATACAGGAAGGAATAAAATATGTAACAAGTAGTTATAGCTTAGAATGTGAATGGGATGAATTTACCCATAAAATGGAAACTGATAGATTAAAATTTTGAATCCAATATGTTGCTTTCAGGAAATGGTATAAAAATGAGAGATACACACAACATAAAATAAAAGTCAGAAGTAGAACTTATTATATAAAAAAGCACGGGTAGTAATCATAATTTCAGACAAAGTTAAAGGTAAAATAGATTTAATCAAAAGAGAAAAATAGGAAGCTACACTGTGTGTCAGCCATATTATTCAGTATTGTTTTAGACCATTTAAAATAACTAGACATTATAAAGTACCTGACAGTATACCTGCCAAGACAGACACAGGGACTATTCAAGTACAAACATAAAACACTTTGTATACAAATAAAATTAGATCTAAATAATTAAAGTAATATTTATTGTTCGTGAGTGAGCAAAGCCGATATAATAAAAACAATAACAATTTACCTAATCTATTTTGTAATGCCATCCCAATTATATTACTAAAAAATTATATTACTGAGTTAGAAAAAAAAAAACAAAGTTCATTTAGAAGAACAAAAGGTCAAGAACTTCAGAGAAACGAGGGAGAAAAAATGTAAAGAAAGCAGATCCAGTAGTATCAGACCTTAAACTATATTATAAGGTAGGAGCATTGTTAAAGTGTGAAATGGATAATTTTGGTTATTTTAAATTAAAATGGTTTTATATAAATAAAACCTATACAGCCAAGAATAGAAGGAATGCAGAAAATTGGGGGAAAATTTTCATAGACAGTCTCTCAGGGAGAATGAGATTGGATTGGAATATTGCTGTGGTGTAGGAAATTATGAACTGGTTGATTTAGAACAGGCTTGTACGACATGTGACCTGAACTGTCTTCACCTGGGAATGCATATAATCATTCTATTTAAAAGGATGAAGTTGGGGCAGCTAGGTGGCGTAGTGGATAGAACAGTGGCCCTGAAGTCAGGAGGACCTGAGATCAAATCTGGCCTCACACATACTCACTAGCTGTGTGACTTTAAAAAAAAGGGATGAAGTTATAGAGTCAACAAATATATATTAAGCACCAACTGTATCCCTGATACTGTGTTTATATTTTGTATGGAATACAAAGTATATGTCTACTCTAGATAAGACATATATTCCATTTCTTACTAATCTCTTACATGCTGGCTTTTTCATCAACCCTTTATAATCTGGCTTCTGTCACCAGTATCCTCCTTATCACCAAATAGTGAACTTTTTTCCATCTTCTTCAACCAATCTGTAGTGACACGGTCAAAAACACTTCTAACAGTATTCCTTCTCTTTACCATGCCTTCAGAGAAAGACAACTCCTCTTGATTATCCTCTTCTCTAATCTCTCCTGTTCCCTCTGGTGGCTTCTTGTTTTCTTCCTAGCCCCTATAATGTAGGTGTTACCCGAGGATCTATCCTTGACCTTTGCTTCTCTTTTCTTTATATTCTCTCTCTTCACGACCTCCGTAAGGACGCAAGTGCCTCACAAATCTATATCCTTTACCCTAACTCTCTTCATAGGCCATCTCCAGAAATTGCACTGATACCTCTAACTTAACATGCCTCAAGCCAGATTTAGTGTCTTTGCCTTGAATCTGCTTCTCCCTCTGATATTGTTTCTGAAAGAAGCATCACTGTCTGTCTCCCTCACTTCTATCATTTATCAAGCCATTAATTATACCACCTCTAATCTTATTAATTGCACCACTCTTTTTCAACTTTCCTGTCTAGAATGATGCACTGTCCTCCTTAGATAGCATCCCACCTCTGTTCTTCCCTGTGAATACATTATTCATGTCATTGCAATCTAATGCATGTATCTAGACTTGCCATTTCTTTGTTCAAAATTCCTGTTACTATTAACCTTTATAACTTCATCAACACCTATCACTCAGTGGTGTCAGACTCTTTGTGATCCCATTTGGGGTTTTCTCGACAAAGGCACTGCAGTGGTTGGTTTGCCGTTTCTTTCTCCAGTTCATTTTACAGATGAGGAAACTGAGGCAAACAGGGTTAAATGATTTGCCCAGGGTCATACAGCTAGTAAGTGTGTGAGGACAGATTTAAACTCAAGAAGATGAGTCTTCCTGATTCCAGGCCCAGTGCTGTATCAACTGCATACTACCCAGGTTTGAATTTACTTTGTATTTACTTAGGTATTTATATGTTAGTTCTCTAACAGAATGTTCTTATGAGCAAGGACAGTTTCATTTTCATTTTTGTACCCTCAGCTCCTAGCTAGTTTTCACCTCTGATGGTCATAACTTTCATTACTTAACACTACTGGGTACTGTACTACATTTCCATTCAAGTTGTTGGTCAGTCCATTTTAGAAAATGTAATCATTGTATGAAATCCTCATAGTTTTGGGGGGGTGAACTTAATTTCTCTTCTCAACCATCACCTTTTTATCCTAATTTTTTCCTTTCTTTTAAGGGGGAAGATGTTAATCGGACACTAGAAGGTGGGAGGAAGCCTCTTCATTATGCAGCAGACTGCGGGCAGCTGGAAATCCTGGAATTTCTGCTACTGAAAGGAGCCGATATTAATGTATGTCTTAAAAAACAAATAGGTGACTTAGTTTAGACTAATTCTGCTATATGGTTTGGGTATTTGGTTATTACACATTTTTAAAAAGCTATTTGTGAGAACCTCATTTTGAAAAAGAAAATTATTTAGAATTAAGTTTGTCAGTTTCCTATAATTTAGAAATGATTGAGACCTTAGCATAAACAGGGTAAATTGGCTTGATTTTGAGGTTCAGTATTGAAAAGAGAATTGACTTTTCTATCACATGGTTAGTAATTTAAGTTAAACTAATGGCACATGAGGCAGTTACTTTTCATCTGCAAAGATTTATATGTTCCAAGCTCACTTTTTTAAAACTTAGCTTCTTTTTGAAGTTTGCAGGTGCTAGATAAACTAAAACTTGGAGAGTTAAAACTGTTTGTAGGGAGCAAGTAAATATTACTTAATGAAATGAAGGCTAAGTCTTTCTGCATCTATAATGATACTCCAAATAGAATTTAAAGACTAAATTTTAAATCATTTTTTTTTTCAGTATGAGTTAACAGTGTGATGTGACAACCAAAAAAAACTCATTTCATCTTAGACTGGACTTTGAGAATTAGAGTCTGCAACAAGGGAGATTATAGTGCCACTAGTCTGTGCCCTGGTCATATATAGGGAGTCTTTTATTCAGTTCTGGGCTCCACATCTCAGAAAGAATGGAAGAGTTTGATCAGGATGGAGAATTGGAAACTATGCAATAGCAGAATCAGTTTGAAGAAACGGAAAATAGTTATCTTGGAGAAGAGAAGACTTGGGAGAGAGATAATATCTGAATATAGATATTTGAAGGGTTGTCATTTGGAAGAGGAGGTACTAAATCCCATTTCGATGAATAAAAATAGGAAGCTTTCAACACAATGTTATCTCTAATGATGAGCTAAGATTGAAATGGGTGTCTTGCCAAAGTGATAGTGACCTCTTTCTGGACATCTTAAATAGATGACTGGTAACTGTCACTTTGTCCAGCATATTATACAGGAGCTTCCTGCTCAGGAGAATGTTAAACTAGATGACTTCAGAGAACACTAAACAGCTTTGGAATTCTATGCTTTAAATGAATGAGCTTGTTTATCCCATTAATTTATTATTTTGTAGGCTCCAGATAAACATCATATTACCCCCCTTCTGTCTGCTGTATATGAAGGTCATGTTTCTTGTGTGAAACTACTTCTGTCAAAGGTAAGAGCTATTGCTAATTTTCACTGATTTCTCTGATACTTTATGGTTTGTTAAAAGAAAGGTTAAGGATCTGTGGGAATTTTTGCTTTCTTTGTATCATTAGCACTTAAGGGTAACTGACATATTGTTAGCACTTCAGTGAATTTTATCAGTTGACTGATTGAAGATAAATTGCTGAGTTTCATTTTGTTTCAAATTATATCTGGTATCAGGGGTTGAGAACACAGTTGTGGGATTTGAGGTCCCAGATTCTACTTTCTATACTGTACCCAGACCACGTATTTACTTACACAGACAAACACACCGTAGAAATGGTTTAGTCAAAGCAGTACTGGACTAGGGATTTAAAAGTTCATGGGTTTTAGTGTTGGCACTGGCACTGTTAATTAGCTATATGACCTGGATAAATTGCTTAACTGCTATGAATCTCCTGATCTATAAAATAAGCATTTTAGACTTTATGCCAACTTTCAACTCTAGGATTAACTTTTATGTAGCTTTCCCTTCTCAAAGAGAAAACTACATCATAGAACATAGAGTTGAAAAGGATCTTCAGAGGTCATTTAGTCTAACCTTTTCATTCAGTGCAAGAATTCTCTTCCTGACATCTCTGATAGGTGGTCACCTACCCTCTGCTTGAATATATAGTACATAGCTCAGCACTTTATGAAGCATCTCACTGTTGTGCAAATCTGGTTAGACTCCCTCAATAGGAAGAATTTTCTGTTTCCCTATGATTTTCACCCTTTCTTCCTATTTATAACACAGACCTACCCTACTCCTTCCTTCTGCATAGTAGCTCTTCAAATATTTTATATTACCTTAGTTTTCTTTTCTGAGGTCCAAATGTCTTCAGTTCTGTTCACCATTCTTTATGTAATAACGTGGTTTTCATAACTTCCATTTTCTTGCCCACCTTTCTTTGTATAGGAATCTAGTTTCATTGTATCTCATAAAATGTTGTTCTTTGAATTAAATACATTTCAGGCAAACCTAAATTTACGAATAAATTGTCTTCCAAAAATTTGTAAGTTAGTGATTCAGAGCTCACAATGTATATTTATGATAAAACTAGTGTTACAAACAATACTTGGGCTCCCTGGCCAACTCAAAGAAGCCAATTTAACTTCTAGCTAAAAAATACTAACACTTTATGGTTCTAATAGTAAATCTGAGTCTATAGACTTTATCAAATGCTTTGGTGGAATTATATCATATTTGTGGAATGCCTTCATCTATTGCTTTTATTGTTCTAGTTTGTATTTTTGCCGCAAACCTCAGCTGATTCTAGGCACATTGCCTTTCTCATGGCATTTTTAGGAGGATATAGTTAGATGACTTGGATTATATGTCCTTCTGTCCTTCATACATGGTTTTATTTTGGGGGTTTTTTTAAACCTAAGGTCATCAGGTATCTCTCTCTAATAGTCTGATTACTTCCTTTAGATTCCTTCTCCTTTTCTTGTTCCTGTGACTAATAAGAATTTCTTGTTTTAGAATCTCATATTGTATTCTTTTGAGTCTGTAGTCATAAAAATTATACCTATATTTTCTAGAATTATTTTGGAATGTCTTAAAGACTAGAATGCCTGTTCAACTTCAGTCAGTTTTCCCGTGCTTTATAATTACAGACTCCAAGATGATGTATAGGATCCAAACCAACTTCAAGAATTAATAAACAAAATATAAATGTTTCAGTTATATAAAATATAGACTGTGGAGTAACCTAAGAAACTCTCTTAAACTAGATGTTGCTTGTTTATAGGAAGAATATACAACGAATACATTTTGATTTAAGGAATGTCTGGCTAAAAGGGGCCATATAAAAGCAGAAGTTTTGTACCAAAATCCTAAGAGGAAAGGAATGGTTTATCCCCCATTCCTTAAGCTGTGGGAAATTAGGAAAAATTAGGAAAGATGGTGGGATAAGCAGTGTACTGCTTTCATTGAAACCTGGAGTCAAAGGATCTTAAAATGCATTATCTCATACACGAGATTAAAGTTCAGAAGAGGGAAGTAACCCCAGATAATACCATTAACGAGTAGCAGAGCAGCAATATTCAAATTTTGTTTTAAAAAAAGAGTTCTAATAACAGTTGATGACTCGATTCTCAGAAGATTGGATTTTTCTTTTAAAAAATTTTATTGGTGGTTTTAAAAAAAAACTGCATTTGTTCCTTACGTCTAATCTTCCCCTCCCAAAACTATTTCTATGACACATTGACCATGTGTGATAGAGTACACTTTATTCCAGACCTATGTCTATCCCCTCTCTACCAGATGTTGATATCAGTATTGGAGTCCAAATTGGTAATTGCACTGATCCGAGTTCTGATGTCTTTTAGAGTTTTTTCCCTCTTTACATTATTATGGCCAATATATCTGTTCTCTTAATTCTGCTTACTTTGCTCTATATCAGTGGTGTCAGATTTAAATAGAAATAGATGCTAGACACATTGATTTAGAAAACTACAAATTATCTATATTGTACTGTAGTCTTATTTATTTTATTAAACATTTCCCAATTACATTTTAATCTGGTTCTGGCTGCACTGGGAATTTTTGTATGTTGCCTGCTGACATTTCTGCTTAATATAACACATAATTTGGTGAGAGTGAAAAATGACAGATGTGTGGCCAGAGTCCTCCACTAGTCTCTTTGCCATTCCAGGCAAAGAAGCTTGAAAGGAATGCCTCCAACATACTGCATGGCCCCGTGATGAGTTTAAAAAGCAGGCAGATGTAGATGGTTTTTGATCTACATCGTTAGAGTAAATTTCAGAAGCAATGAATTCACAGATATTTTTCAGTATAAATGAATTCTTTCTCACTGTCTAGTTAGTGGTATTGCTAGGTCAAAAGGTATGAACAGTTTTTAGTTACTTGGCTAGCATTGTTCCAAATTGCTTTCCATAATGGTTAGGTCACTGCCCATCTCTGCACAGTCTCATGTTAACTCTCTTTATCTTTTGTCATTTATCACTTTAAAGGAGTAAAACAGGTGGATTTTATTACTTTAAAGTATTCTATATATTTTTATTGGTGTCTTTTGTTTTTAATTCACATTCATTTCTAAATATATCCCTATATCCTAAATATATCAACTCTACCCAGAGAGCCATCTCTTATAATAAAGAGAAAGACACCAGCCAACATATTAGCTATATGTTATGATATTCCACACCCATAATTTGCTACTCTTCTCTGGGGCCAAGTAGGGTCTTAATTATACAGTGGTCAGTTTGTCCTGTTATTCTTTGAACTTACATTGTTGGCATTATGTGTTTTGTTTTCCTAATTTTGTTTACTTTATTCTATGTCAGCTCATATAAGTCTTTCCATGCTTCTCTGAATTTTCTATGCCACAATTTATTTAGTCATTTCCCCGGGGCGGGGGGGGGGGGGGCACCTACTTGGTTAATTCAGTGAAGAAGTTAAAATCTGCAGCTTGGAAATTTAAGTTTTTAACCTGTCAGGTGACCAAATATAATATCTTTCATAGGTCATATCCCTTGGATGTAATTTGACTCATTGCACAAACTAGATCTAGTTTATATGAAGAGAGCTCAGGTACCACTGCATCATGAAATAGCACTGAACTGGGGGGTCTGAAAACCTATGTTCTAGGCCTGGTTCTATCAAGACTGGGGTCTGCACTTCTCTGAACCTCATTTTCTTTAGATTGTGTGTGAGTGTGTGTAACACATACACCCAACTTCAGAACCTTAGCATTTATCTGCATGGATATCATAGGTTTGTCTTCAAAGCATGATAGGGGAAATGAATAATTGAATGCAAGTATGTGGAGAAGTAAACTCATCACTAATGAAGTGTATCTCTCAAAGGCTGGATTTTCAGAGTATGGTAAGTATGAAAAGACCTCTGGCAGGTTTAAATTGGAAAGGTTTCGTGTATGGGTGTGATGATGGACTGTAGCTATGTTTGGAAAACCACATCATCAGTTTGGCTGTGTAGTAATTAATTTTTCAGCTATATTGTCCCTTGAAGACTAAGTTGTAGAGAGGTTCTGTTCTATATTAATGGAGAGATCCCCTTACAATCACAGATCTGTGGAGTATATGTGTAAGTGTCTTCTGTTTTTTGTTGTTGTTGTTTTGTTTTGTTTTGTTTTGCTTTGCATTTGTGACCGCCTTGATTTCTTTCTGTACCTGTGTACTGTGGACTTTAAGGAGTCCGAATTAGGAACAAAAATACTTCCCTATAAAATGTATCTTGCCTTATCAACGTTATATCTCCTTCCCTCCTCCCACTCCCCCCCCTCAAAAAAAGGCAGTTAGTGATGAGGCATTTTAATAACTGGACCTAAAAAACTTTTTTTTTCCCCTGACCCATATGTACCCATTGATAGCCTACATTTCTTCAGCTCATGCTCACTGTTCTTCCCTCTTTTCTCCAGAATGTTTTTATGTAATGATACATAAACTGTAAAGTTTTCAGGTAATATCTTAGTGAACTTTTGTTTACTTCATAACTTCATGCATTCCTCTGCAAATCCAAACAACTCAGGTTTCACCTCACACCCAGCAAATGGACACAGGTAACAAATGTAGGAATAAGCAGGCCCATTAATACACTGTTGGGTGTTGATCAAACTATTCTGGTAATCATTTTGAAATTATGCTAGCAAAGTGACTTAAGCTATCCCTAACCCTTAATCAAAAGATACCACTGGTAGGCATATGATCGAAGGAAGTGAAAGATGAAAGGCTGCATTTACATTAAAATAATTGGAAATGAAATTCACCAATGAGAAATGATATATAAAAATGAAAGAATATTGCTATGCTTTAAGAAATAATGAATATGACGAATACAGTAAACCATGGGAAGGCTTGCTTTAACTGTTGCAAAGCAAAGTAAACAGAACTAAGAAAGCAATATCCATAATAACTAGAATGACATAAATGGGAAGAGAAAGGAAGGAGCAGACAAACAAAAGGAAATGAAGCTTCGCTCCAAAGATGAGAAAAAACTCCCTC